AGTTCAGCAGTATTTCTAAAGACTTGAGAACAGGGCCTGGCACAGAGTGAATACGGGAAGAGTGCCTGTGAAACAGAAGAGTGTGCCAGCTCTCAGGGCTGGGGCATCGCTAGCCATGCCTCTTTCCACCTCAAAGCAGGACCACCATCAGGCCAGCTCAGGGTTCCCTGCTCAGGGGACCTGGCAGCTGCCAGCCGGAGGCAGGTGAGGAGGGTCCCAGGCCCCCAGGTCCCGAGCCAGCTCGGTCGGAGAAGACAGGGCGAGGAAGAGCTCCTGGGAGGGGTGCTTAGCCAAGCCCCTTCCCCACCTCTGCTTGGCACGGTCTCTCCCATGTTCGCACTAGACTCCGATGTGTCCTGGGGCTAAAGTCCTTCTGCTCTCAGCTTCCCAGCTGGGCTGTTTGCAGGAGTTTCCTCCGCACCAGCCTGGCTCCTGTGCCCTCCTGAAGCCCCTTCCCATGAGTTCCCTGTTGCTTCCAAGACCTTTCATCTCTCAGTGCTGCTGGGTTTGGGATCTCTCTGGGGTTGTTTGGCCCAAGTGATGCTCCCATGGTGGGTGGGGTGGGGGGCAGCTGGCTGTCTAGCTGTGACGACTGAACCCTAAGCTCGTGAAGATTTATCTCTGCAGTAAGTTGAAGAGCTTGCAGCTGAGGGGCCAAAGCTATATACTGTTTACAGCCCTCTAACACTCTTCCCTGCGTGTAAGATCACAGGGGTGGACAACCTCTGGAGGGCGGGGGCCCAGGCGTGCCCTTAATTTCCTGGCTTCACACTTCACTGCAGGGTTCTATGAGTTTAAGGAGGAGCCGAATCACATCTTTTGGGCAATTCTGCCCACCTAAAACAAGCTGGGTGGTTTTTAATGCTCTGGAGAACCCAGCCTGGTGAGCAACACTGCTGAACAGTGGGCGCAGGGGTTAGGACTGCCCCAGATGCCAGTCTGGCCTCACATACCAAAGGACGGAAGAATCTGATGGAGAACCAGAGATGGGAAAACGATCGTCAAGGTCCATTAGAAATGGGAGGAGACGAGTTTTATTCACAGACTCTAGAGCAGGGGGTGCAAGCAGCACTGGGACGTGAACAGAGCCTGCCCTCCTCCGCGTCCGCGGACATACCTTGGCTGACCTGGTGACGGCCCCGATCTCTGAGTACAGATCCGAGCTGTCCGGGAAGTTTTCCACCACCATGGTGCACACGTGGTGGAGAAGCGACTGCTTGTGCACGGTGTCTTTGACTTCTGGAACCTTCTCGAGGTAGCTTAACTCAAACGCTTTGGCCTGTTTGGGGAGCATTTTAAATAAAACACAGGATGAGCAGCAAGTTTTACGCAGGCTCTTAGAAAGACACAAATGGCTAGAACCAAAGACTTCTTGGAGGAGCCCAATACTTAATTCCTCTGTGCCTGGGGCATCTCAGACCACAGGCTCCATCAATCTTAGCTGATCACACGTGAACCAGCCTCACTGAAAGAGGAACGCGCCTCCAGCCCTCTCCCACCATGGCCATCAGCCCCGGGCCGTCCCAGGGCTCCCTCCTCAGTCAGGGCACTGGGGGCCCGGGGCTCTGCTTTCTAGGTGTCTCCTCTAATCCCTTCCCTGCTTTTCTACTTCCTGGCTCAAGATAGGCTACTTTTTCCAAAAAGGTTTGTTTATAATGTGTGTGAGTACAAACATTTCAGCAATAAGCACAGGAAAAAAAAGGAAAAGAAAAAAAACCAAAACAGGGTAGAAGAAAATATCTCCAAAATCAATTTGGAGAGGAGTCAAGCTTCGTGAAGAATCATGTGCTTATTTTTCTAAGTTTTCTTATCTACAGCAAGAGATAGGCTTGAAGGAATATGCCCTGCTATTTCAAGGACAAAAAACATCTAGAGTTTCACTAAAAAAAAAACAAACCCACAAAAATTGTTTCGTTGGATTGTGCTCTGGAGGCCCAGAGGTACCACCTCCAGCAGCCAGTGAAGGGCGGGGATTTGGGGACAAGGGAGGTAGGAGGGTAAGGGGTGCCAGAGACTTACATTAGTTCCATTTAGAAAGTTCCCAATGGCCAAGAGAGTAGACAGGATGTAGCCCAAGGTTTTATTGTTCTCCAGCTGGTCTATCCCTTCCTTCAGGTCCAAAAGTGGTTCAGCCACTTCCTTTCAATTAAAAAAAAAGTGAGAAAAGATAATAAAGAACACATATTTTGGCTTTCCTTTGTTCTTTTTACTTTTTGTGCAACGGTCATAACCCGTGGAGTTCTCCCAGTGCAAGGCCATCCCCAGTGATGGGCACACGCTCCCAGGTGTGGAGATGTGCAGAAAAGGCAGCAGGACGAAGTCTAGTTCCCAAAGTCTCATCAGTGGAGACCAACTGGTTACCTGCGGCTCCCAGGCGCTTGGCTGGGTGACAATGCTGTCTTCCCCTGTTCCTGCCCATCTTCCAAGCTTGAGCAGGACACTCAGGCCGTGCTCTCCTCTCAATCTCCTTCTGACCATGGTTGACTTATATGAAACTCCTCTGCATGCTCCTTCAGCATCGGAACCACAGTCTTTCTCCTCCCAAACAAATGACAACAGCAACTGTGGCCTCCCTGTCCCTGGATCCAGGTCTCCTAACCTCCCCTCGAGGCACTCTTAGTCTGGGTTACTTTCTAGAAGGCCACCATCATTACTCCCACGGCTTTCATAACTCCTGCTCTCAGATGTCTAGCTTGCCCTGGAGTCTCATGGCCTTGGTCTCCTCTTCCCTCTGTGCTGTTCTGTAATCCCCCACCCCGCTTCAGTGTCCTCTCAGGACCTCTCCCCTAGCACGTACCCCAAAGCCAGAAGGTTCCGCTTCATTCTCTCCAGCCTCACTTCTGCCAGGCAGGCCCTACCAATCCCCAACCGAGGCTGATTCAATGATCTGTTTTCTCCATCAAGTTATCTGACTTTGCTACAGACAGTCACCTAAACATGCTGACTGGTTTTGCAACCACGTCACCGTAGCAATCCTAGCCTCCTTCATCCTGATTCGTGAATGAATTCCAACACAGCAGCTACCTCCTGAAGCACCGTAGACCCCCTGCTACCTATCTGGCCCTCAGTCAGGCCCGTGTTCCCCACTCTGCAGAACGAGGAGGACCACACAGCCTCTCCCCTGAGTCTGTCACCTCCTCTGAATCAGGCTCCCCTCCAGCTCACCATCCATCTCTCCCGCTTCCTCTCCACTGGCTCCTTCCGCTCAGCCTGCACAGTCACCTCACCCCAGTCCAGAGAAGTGCCTGCTTCTTCCGCTTTCCACTCGGGATGAGCCTCCCCAGGCCTTCACTGTCAAAGTCCTTTTGCTTCTATTCTCTTTCCAGCCTCCTGCAGTCTGGTTCATCTTAGATTTCCTACTGACAACCTCTCTTAAAGGGACCCAATGACTTGCTAATTGCCACGTCAATGGCAGTGAAGTGACGACCCTCAGATAAAAAGACCGCCAAGTCACTTCTCACATTGTGTTTTTCTGTACTGTCTAAATTTTCTTTGAGTCAGAAAAACAATTTAAGTCTGTTTATTTTTTCCACCAGTAGACTATCTGGGGCTGGCGCCAGGCAGACACTTCCACATAATCCCTCACTGGCAGGCTGCTCGCACTCAGTGTACACACAAACCCATCACAATCAACTCACCCTTCAAACCCTGTCTCAGGAAGGATACCTCACCCGTGCTCACCGGTAAAAACACAGACTTTCTCAACATGGGGGCTGCAGGGCCGGCTGCCTCTCTTCCCAAGGGCTTACCTTTTCTGTAGTTTCGTAATCCATTTTGAACGCCCAGAGGTGGAGGCGCGCCGAGAGCTCGCTGATGGAGGAGAGCGTCAGCAGGAACTGCTCCGCGCTGCCCAGCGGCACCTCCGGGCTGGCCAGCTGCGCTTCCTGGATCTTCTGCTTTTCTTCTTCGGTGGGAATCATGGTGAGAATTTTCTGGAAAGACAGAAAGATACGGTATCTTCTTAGTATTTGTATGGTGATTTTCCAACCAGGTAGCAGAGATGTTCTGCTGTCAGTGCCGTTGTATGCAGGTGACAATTACATACCAAATAAACTTTAGAGAGGGAAAGCCCTGGGGAGCATCTACATTTGCACTCATTTGTTTTAATATTCTCCCTCTTTCTTTAAATCTGTTTCATAAGCAGCTTGCCTCCAGTTTTCTGAGTCTTCTACATGAAAGACGTTTCAGACAAGAAAGAGGGATGGGAGGTGAGAAAAAGGTGAAAGAATAATAATAATATTAGAGAACAGCTCCCTGTTCCCCAGGAAACAGAGTAAAACGTGTTAAGAATATATGCTTCTCATGGATTAACTCAAGAGCTTACAGAAATGAACCCCTTTCAAAGAACTCAGATTGACTTTTGTACACGGGCCATCTTATAATTTTTTTAATATTTAAACTGTATTTCAAATTTCATATAGAAATTAAAACATTTTGACATCAAACTCAAGTCTGATTGAGGAAAAAAGGATGATGGTACTTTTGTTTTTAATTGAAGTATAATTGATTTACAATGTTGTGTTAGTTTCTGGTGTACAGCGTAGTTAATCAGTTATACACATATATATTCTCTCTTATGTTCTTTTACATTATAGGTTATTCCAAGCTATTTAATATAGTTCCCCGTGCTACACGGTAGGACCTTGTTGTTTATCTGTTCTGTATATAGTAGTTTGTATCTGCTAATCCCACACTCCAAATTTATATCCCTCCACCATGATGGTACTTATAAAGAGTAATACACACCAATGGAAAGAATACTGCTTTCTGCTTTTGTTTCTGGTAAAAATCAATTGCAGAAGACGGAGGAAGCAAACAGGCATTGGAAGGATTATGATTCTTACAAATTCAAATTCCTTGGTGATTACATTTTAAAAGAAGGTAAAAATTCCCACCATGTGACACTTCACATACAACATTACTATAGATAAGGTATCATTGGTCTTCTCTCATTTATCAAATAACAGCATCAAAGCAAACTTGTGTTAAGTCATTAATTCTCGGTGCTTTGATTACTGCTCTGCACTAGCTGCCACCTGTGTCAAACGTGGGAAGGAGTTCTGGTGAGACGGGTGAGATGGACTCAGCGCGCTCCGCCCTGTCTGTCCCATAGAATGCAACCCCACACCCTGGACAGCAGGCATCGAGCAGCTATTTGAAGATGGAAAAAAAAAAAATAGTGGTAGGTAGATTGGGGAAGAAGACCAGAACCGGAAGTTCAACTGAACTGGTCATGAGCTGACCGTTTTCTCTGGTACTCCCCAGCCGGGGCTCTCGGGCAGCCCCAAACCTGAAAGAGGGTATCAGGTGACAGACAGAGAGAGCTCCAGGGGAGTCTTCTGGTTCCGACTTGAAGGGTGGGGAAGGGGTCTCCTAGGAGTGGCAGCAGAACTGGCAGATCCTAAAACTCTGACATAGGGAACCTCCCCTCCAATCAGTGGAGCTGTGGCCCCAAGAGGTGGGACAAACCCCTTCTGTTTTTCTTCTCTACCTTCCCTCGGCCTGGCCCCAGACATGGGCACTGTGATAGAAAGTGCATGGCGAAAGGAGGCAACCGAGGCCCCAGGTTTCACTGAAGGGCCAAAAAGGAAGGCCCCAGAAAGTGGGAAAGCACTTGGAGGTCACAAAAAATGACAATCCTGCAAAGCAAGCGCACAACATTGTTTAAGAAGCTCCGAGCTTATCCCTGAGCTGTTCACGTGTGAACCTGACCTTCAACAGCACATCAAAGACTTTGAGGCCTGAACTGGTCTATAAGAACTTTGAAAACTGAGCTGACACTGGACCCACAGTCCACAGAAGGTGGGTCAGAATCTGTGGCCTGAACCTGAATGGGTGATGGAATAATTCTCAGTTTTTTTATGAGACCAGAATGACCCTGATACAAAACCAGACCAAGACAGTACAAGAAAAGAAAACTGCAGACCAATATCCTGATGAACTAGATGCAAAAATCCTTAACAAAATATTTTAAAATACATAAATAAATGCCAATATATTGAGATATATAACCCCATTGCTATATTTTATATAGCAATATGTTTTAAAATAACTAAAAGGTTGGATCAATATGAAAAAGTCAATCAATGCAATTAATCCCCCATCTGATACATGACATTTATTTAAAAAACCCTATAGCTCATTTCAAATTTCACGGTGACAGAGAGAATGCTTTCTCTCTAAGACCAGCAACAACACAGGAAGTCCCCTCTCATCGTTCCTGTTTAACACTGTGTGGAAATCCTAGCCAGGTAGATAAAATTTTTAAAATGAATACAGATTAGAAAGGAAAAAATACCACTGTTCCTATCTCAGATGGCATAATTGCCCCATAGAAAATTGCGAGGAATCTACAAAAAACTTATAAAACAGTGAGTTTAATGATGTTGCGCGATATAAGGTCAGTATACAAAAAAAGTTTCATTTTTACATATTAATTATAAACAATTATAAACTGAAATTTAAAAAAAATACTATTTACAGTGAAATACTTAGGTATAAATCAAAAAATCACATGCAGGCTCTGTATGCTAGAAAGTGAAAAATGCTGGTGAAAGCAATCAGAGATGATCACACAAATGGGGGGATAATCTGTGTTCACAGAGTGAAAGACTCGATATAGTCAAGACGTTAGTTTTCCCAAAATTGATGTATAAATTTAACTCGATTCCAATCAAAATAGCATGATTTTTTGTGGCTATAGACAAGCTGATTCTAAAAATTATATGGCAAGGCAGATGAACCAAAACAGCCAAACCGAAGGAATTCTGAAGAAGACCTGCCCTGGAGGAGTCACAGCACCGAAAGAGCTACAATAGAGCCACAGTATTAAGATGGTGAGGCATGGGCCTCAGGATGGAGACAGGGATCAGTGGGACAAAACAGGGCATCCAGAAGCAGACCACACAAATATGGCCCAGTGATTCTGACAAAGGTGTGAAGGCAGTTCAACAGACAAAAGGTAGTGTTTCAAATGATGCTGGAACAACTGTAACCCACATGCAAAAATTGAGCCTCAGCTTAGACCTTCCACCTTGTATATAAATGAACCCAAAAGAGATCATGAATCTAAAAGGTTAACACTACAAAACTCTGAGAAGGAGATACAGGAGAAAAATCTTTGTGACCCAGGTTAGGCAATCAATATGACACCAAAAAAAGAACAGGTTGATACACTAAACTTCATCCAAATTACACACATTTTCTCTGTGGAAGAGACTGTTAAGAGAATGAAAAGCCAAGTTGCAGTTCCTCAAAAGAATAAACATAGTTATCAGGTGATCCAGTAGCTCTATTTGTAGGTACTTAACCTACAAAAATTAAACTTGAGTTCACACACAAACTTGTGCTTGAGTGTTTGTAGTAGCTTATTCACAACTGCTAACAGCTGGATGGAGCTAAGTGTTCTCCAGCAGGTGAAGAGATAAACAGACAGGGCTACAACCCTGCAGTGCAGTGATGCTCGGCGATAAAAAGGGGCCAACTATAGAGATGCACCGCAACTTGGATGAATCTCAAAGTATCAATCATGTTGAGTGAAAGAAGCCAGTCTCAAAAGGTTCCTCACTGTATGATTCCATGTATGTGACATTCTCGAAAAGGCAAGACCACAGTGATGAGAAGCGATCAGTGGTTATCAGGGGATCGAGGTGGGTTAATGATGTGAATAGGAAGGGACAGCACAAGGGGTTTTTTTGGGAGTGGGACTATTTTGCATCCTGGTTACAGTGGTCATTGCATGAATTTATATGCTTTAAAACTCAATTAAGTCTGGGCACCGAAAAAAAAAAGTCAATTTTATCCTCTATTAATAATTCAAAAACTAAGAAAATAAGAAAGTGGACACTTGACACCATAATCGGCAATCATGCAGATGTTTACATGATTGTGTCTCAGGATGCATCTGGGTAGGGGAGCGGTTGTCCTGGGTTCATGAGAGAGTTCTCAGGGAGGGCGGTACAGAAACCAGTGATGCCAAAGGGGACTGGAGATGTGTTTTGGTCTGCGGTCAGAGTGAGGTCGCAGGTGGTGAGCCCAAGATACCTCCTTTTCCAATGTTCACTTCATCAGGGCCCCAAACACAGACTATGCGGGTGGAATGGGGCATCAGGGGACGTGCTCAGCAGTCATGCTCCTTGCTCTCCCGTAGGCTGATGCTACTGATCCCCCACCTCCACACAGACAGTATTAAAAAAGGACCAAGACTATCCAAGCAAATGTCACTTCTTTCCGAAAGCCCAGGATTTGGACTCAGTTTTCCAAATAAAAACTGAACTACAAATTTAGATTTTAATTTTCTTAGTGCTCAAATTGTTTTAAGCAAGTACAAGAATTCTAAAACTAAAAGTTGTCAACGCTTTTCCCCTCTTCTTCAGAAGGCATTTTCCTGTGATGATTTTTGTTGCTTTTTGTTTTCCTTTGGGAAAGTAATCAACCACTCTTACTTTTGTTTTTCACTTCTCTGATTAATTTAAACCATTTGTGTTCACTGTTGAAGATTTGTAAGGTTACCATCTGCCAGTTTACTTTTTTTTTAACACGCCATTAACAATAAAAATAGCCACGAGACAGTGGAACAGCAGAGTCAAAGCTACCTCCTATGAGGCGATGGCCCCCTTTTTTTTTTATCATGAGCATATGATAAAGATATGCGTGTACCTTCTATTTGCTCTTTACCATATCAATAGATTTATTAATGATTTTATAATGGCCATTTGGTTTCACGGAGAGAAAACATCAAACAAGACCACTACATCATCATCTCTGTGTTTTCTGACTCTGGGAACTTCTGTTTCTAGGATGTTGACAGGTCTGATAGCCAAGCTGGGCCAAGAGAAATGTAATTTGGGACCATTCAATTGTGTTAACCCTCTGAGTAGACACAGACTATAAAAACGAGAAAAGCAAGGAAAGAAAAAAAGGAGAACTCTTCATACTTCCATTTGTGATACCTCAATGACATTTTACTTGGGAAAATATCATTATTACTACTTACAGATGGCCCCCAAATCATATTGTAAAGTTTAATACTCTCATGAAAAACCACTCCCTTAATGAAGTTAGTTAATGACTCCCATGAGTTTTCACGATGAACCAGGTACAGACCATTGGGTTGCTAAGCAGGACGTCAGCGAATACATCCTAATCACGCTCGGGCACACAGAGGTTCTGAACGGCCCTATTAAGCCATGGTGCCACGCTCCAGGGCCAGCGTCCAAGAAGCAGATGGTTTGGTAGAAGGCCATTTGGGCATAAGCTGGAAATCACATTAGTAAAGATCTGCAAGGGTTCCACTTCCGTCTCACCTCAGTCCTGATTTAACTCCTTCAACAACAAACCTGGAGAAGCAGCTCCGGTTGGGGGCTGGCTTGACATATGGACGGAGAGCATCCATGTCCCTTGGGTCCCTGAGACTGGTGGCCAGAGACAGCCGGTAACAGCTGGGGGAGCCCGGGTTCTGTGTTCTCCACAAGGACCGCTTTCTGCTGGACTCTTCTCAGCCACAACTAATAGGAGTTGCAAAATGTTCATGATCTCTGGGTTTACACAGGCAGCTTCAGATGAGGGGTTCTCCATCAGGGGTTTGACAAAGTCAAAAAGATGTTTTGGGCTGTCACCACTGTGGTAGTACCACTGGCATCTTGTGGGCGGACCCCAGGGCTGCTGCCAGACACTCCACCAGGCACAGGTCAGTCCCACAACCAAGAACTGCCCAGCCCGGAATGGCAGCAGTGCTCCAGTTGAGAAACCCTGCTTTAGATGAAAACTGCGGTAAAGATGTGTAACTCTGTGTCTTGTGACTATATATGCATTTGCTGAGGGCTCGTGACACAATGAACTTTCAGGGTTAGGCAGTATTTTCTTTGGCTGTGTCCTCTCACTGAATATCACCTCATACGGCAGCTACTCCTGGAGGAAAACCGTAGGCAGTGCGGCCTCATGCATCTTCTCACTCCCCTTGCAGATGTCCTCTTATGCTTTTTGGCAGGCGAGCCCAGGCCCAGAGATCCCACCTGGGCCAGCCACCCCCAGGGCCCGTGGACTGCACTGTGGACTCAGGTTCTAGAAATCATATTTCAGCTGGACCTCTTACTGGTTTGTGAGCTTGGGCACAGACTAGCATGGAGCTCACCCTCCTCACCTCTAAGATGGGGAATGGAGGAGCACATCCCTCCTACTCTCTGTGAGCATCTGTGTAAAGCACCCTCCTGGCACCCAGCCCACAGGGAGAAACCCACGAAAGTCAAGTTTAGCGCCCTCTGCCATTCCTACATCCGCCCCGGTACGATCCCCATCGTCATTCCTTCCTGGATCAAAGAGGAGCTCAGCTGGAAACCCGTCGGAAAAGGAAAAAGTGATTCAGCTCATTCTCAAATCTCAGTCACTTATTGTATCTGAAACCTAGGCCCCCCCCCGCCCCACTCCAGGGGGACTGACATTTCAGGAAAGAACAAAGGCAAAACGAAAGGAATCTGTCTCTCCTGATGGACTTTCAAGTTCTCGTGGCAAGAAGGAGAAATATTTTTAAGAGGGGAACTTGTCATTTTTTCCTTCAGTCAAGCTGCCCCTGGCTGCATCTGAATCTGACGCTTGTGCAATCTTGAAAAGATCCTGTGAAGTAAACAGGATGGCCAGAAGGTGCGCTGGGACCTACCACATCGTTTGTCCTACGTGGAAGACACCTTGTGCTTGGTTCGGCTAAGCTGGCAGCCTCCTCCTGCCTGATGGACAGCAAGCCAACGCCCTTCTCCCATGCTCCTCTGGGGGCCCCAGCGTGGAGCTGCCTCACGCTGAGGCCAGGACTGCCCACTTCTTTCTCACTGCCTGGCAGCCACCTCAATGTCCCTCCCTCTATTTGCCTGCTACATATGCCCTGCCCCGGTTTGCCACCTGCCCTCCCTCCCTGGCTGCCCGCCGGGGTATGCGGAGCTGCCGTGCTGAGTGGCCTGACTGCAGGGCCCGGGCTCAACTTCCCCTCCGGAGAGAGGGATGTGCATCTCCCTCCTTGCACCTGCTCCTGAACCAGGCTGTGTGCCTGCTTCTCAGGGTTGAGCCGCGCATGCATTGTACTGGCTTCCTGGGTTTGCCATCACAGAGGATTGCAGATTGGAGACATGTATTCCCTCACAGTTTAAGAGACCAGAAGTCTAATGTCAGCGGTGGGGAGGATCTGTCCTTGCCTCTTCTTCGCTTCCAGTTGTTGCAGGCAATTCTTGGTGTTCCTCGGCTTGTAAACCCATCACTGCAATTTCTGTATCTGTCATCACACGGTGTTCTGTTCTGTGTCTCCTCGTGTGATCCCTGTCTTCACACGGCAACCTTCCCTCTGTGTCCCTGTCCAGACTTCTCCCTTCTTAGAAGGATACCAGCTGGTGGAGTAGGACCCACCCTAGTCTAGCGTCGTCTTACCTTAACTTGATCATGTCTGCGAAGACCCTGTTTTCAAATAAGGTCACCTTCGGAGCTTCTGGGTGGGCATGGATTTTAAAGTTTGTACTCAACCCAGGACAAACCTCAAGGAACACAGCTTCTCCTGTGGGGGCCTCTTCTTTCCAAAGCACAAGAGCATGCCTGCCCAGCTGGGTTCAGGTACCACTTTGCCGCCCTCAGGGCCGTGGGAGAGGCCAGCGCAGAAGCCGGAGCCCTTGCTCGCGTCCAGCTCTCCTGCCGAGGCCGGCCCTCCCTGGCTGCCACCAGCCTCCGCTGGCCCCCTTCACTCTCAAGTCTTTCAAATCAGACTGCGTGAAGGGAACTCAAGGATGGAGAGGCTTTAAAGGGATCCAGGGCTCCTGGCCAGTAGGAGGATGGCGTGAGTGTCACCCAATGCCACAGAGCAGTGCCCTCAGGGCACTGACCCAGTGGGCCCCCAGGCCACCCACTCGTCTGTAGGAACCTGTGGGCGGAGCCACTGACTCCACTCACTCTTTCTCCATTATTAGGACATCAAATTTAACTTCCTACAAATGGGCACCAGCCCACAGTGAAAGGGAGAGCAGGGCCTGGTGGAGGGCACTGGATTCTGGAACAGGGATGCTGTGGCCCCAGCTGGGCCACCTCCCAGCCAAGCAGTCACGGCCAAGGCACCCAGCCCCTCTCCACCCGTGCCATTCAGATTGACAAGCAGTACAGACTCAGCTCGCCTGGCTTTTCCAGTGATCCAGTGAAACACATCTTCCACAGACCCCAACGGGTCCCAGGGGAGAAACAAAGCCACAGACAGGGAGGTGAGCACGCATGGGAAACCCTACTTTTGAAACTGTGCGTTAAACATATTTGGTTTGAAATGACATCCCAGCCCCCCGTGGAGGTTGTCAAACTTCTTCCACGTTGAGGAAGGTGGAGCATGGGCAGAAGGAAATCCGAAATGAACCAGAAAGCGAGGATCTCTGAACTTATGGTGAAGGGAGGGTTCCTCCCCACCAAGAAGTTAAAAAAAGACGTGAGAATTATTAACATCATTCAGAGTCTGGCTGAGACAGAGGAACGGCAAGCTACGCTGCGGAGAAAGTCACCATGGACACAGCACTGTTTTACACGTGTGACATGTGACAGGACAAAAATAATGCTCGACAGAGCTCCTCTTACCTCAATCCCTTCTTTGTTTAAGGCGTATTCGTCAAAATTCAAAATGGCTATCTTAATGGTCCTCGGAGGGGGCAGCACCGTCAGGCCAATATTGATAGCATTGCTCCTCTTGGAATCCAGGACGATGATCTCTTGCTTTTTTCCATCTGCAGCAGTTTTCTTGTGATAAAATAAGGAGAATCCAAGATTAATGCATCATCTTTGGTCCTCTGTTAAAAGCAAGCTCACTACTTACTGAGAGATGAAAACAAATGGCCCCAATTCAGGTCAGGAAAGGCCTGGCTACCGCTCAGCACAGCGGAGAGACCAGGGATTAGGCCCGAGGAGCCGCCAAGAGCAGGTCAGCAGTGGAACTTCTCGAGTCAGACACATTACAAAAGAAAATGGATTTTCCTTCAATTGGGAAAAATGTGATATTTTGCAAGAAAAAAAAAACCCTGTTTTTTTCCATAGAAGCAGTGGAAACAAAACTCAGAGCTCTCAGAGTTCCCTTCCTGTGGGCTGCGAGGTGTCGGAATGTGCCTCGGTTGGCCCCGGAGCGAGCGGTGTGTGCCCGGAGATGGAGAAGGCCGGTACACGCGCCGGGGAGGCGGCGCCAGGAGGGGGAATCCGGCATCGCTGGCCGGTCACCCCTCTGGATCCCAGGGGCTCCTCTCATCAGTCCAACATCCTCCGCCCCGAATGCCTGAGCACTTCCATCTTTGCTGCCGCATGGAGGGGGTGTGAAGAGGAGTGAGGGATAAAACCGGCCAAGGGGCTGAGGAGGGGGGCAGGGAGGAGAGGTGGCCAGGCATGTGCTACAGAGCCCTGCTGTGCGTGACTCCCTGCGGGCCTGGTGTCCGTGGGGCAGCACGTGGCCAGAAGCCAGGAAGTGTGTGAGGTGCTGAGCCAACGCTCACCCCTGCCCAGAGCTGTGATGCCCCCTGGCCCCCCGCTTGGCTTTCCCCTTCAGCTCTCGGGAAGCCAACAGCAGGTGGCAGCGGGGACAGGTGGAGGGAGCCGGCTCTCTAAGCTCCCTGTGCCTGCGCGGCTTCCCTGGAGGCAGCGGGGCTTGGAGGGTGATGCTTGTGATTCAGGAAACAAACCCAGGTGACGAGGATGGGTCAGACCCATTCAGCACGGTGACGGGGTGTGCTCACCGTGTGAGGGAGCCCAGCTACCAGGAATTAATTCACCTGGTGGTGGAGTGGGTCAGGCTCTGGAGGGCCTGCCGCCTAAGCTGGACCCTGAAGAATGTCTAGGGCCAGCCTGGGGCTGGGAGAGACGGAGGGAGGTGCCTTTGTCCGATCCCGGAGAACCGCCAGGGATGAGGCTGGAGGTTTGGGGGTCTACATCGAGGGGACCCCATGAACCAGCTGCTCAGACTCCACTGCAGGCAGACCCTAGCTGAGCAGCTAAGAGCTGCTGAATGTCGGTTTCCTGAGCCGAGGCCTCAGCCTCTTCTCTGAAGAGGGAAATGGGCTGGGTCTGGGAGCAGCTGCGCTGTCTGGAGAAGCTGGCCGGCTGCAACACTGGAGGCTGGGAGCTGGCAAGGAGACACAGGTTGTGGCCCTTTAAGTCCTGCTGAGCCCTTCCAAACTCAACTGCTAAAATTCTATGTTAGGCCCTTAAATATGCATCGGGGGATAAATTACAATTTCTTCACGAAGCAAATGACTGAAAGCATCCCAGCTGTTAGGGGGCCTGGTGGCCAGAAGGAATAATTTCTGTGGGTGTGGCCATCGGCTTTGGACAGGGGGCTCCCAGGGACATGTGGCATAAATGCCTCCTGCCTCTACAGGGGAACACTGTTTCCTATATATGTCATCAGATAAGCTTATCAGGAGCCCTGAAATGTAGCTTAAGTCTAATTTAAGACATTATTTTGTGTATGGAATGCTAAGAAGGAATGTGGGCTAAGGTTTGACAAAATGCTGAACACAGGCAGTGAAGAGGGACGTTATGACTCGCGATGCCCACACTGGGGAGCGGGGTGTGCCCTCCTCCAGGCAACGCAGGGCACCTGCCCAACGTCCATGCCCTCTTCCCCGCTCACCAACAGGACCTTGATTTTTTTCAGACTGGTGACATGTCCATTAATCAGTCACCTCCCTGGCAGTTCTTTGCAGCTAAGTCTGGCAGTTCTGGTTTTGGTTTTCCCGATTAAAAAGGGACAGACCCAGTTGGCCATGCCTTTTGCCTTTCCTCCTTCTTCCTGCCTACATGGTGGATGTGAGACCCAGGGGTGCAGCAGGAAGACAGCTCGTGAGCAGAAGGAATGAAGCCACAGATGGGTGGCAGCATGGGAGACAGAGGCAGCCTGGGACCTGGCACTGGAGAGGCAGCTACCCACAGTCAGGCTCCCATGCTGGAGGCATTAATGGGAAGGCAGGGACTTGCTGGAATCATTAGCCCTGAGCAGCCCATCTACACATACTAGGAGTCCGCAGAGATGCCTGGGCAGGCCCAGCTCAACGGAGCCTTTGTGCAAATGAGAAAAAGATGCCCAAGTCCAGGGAGACACAGCCCCGTGGCAGACAGCTTGAGAGAGAGAAGCATTGCTCAGATTTCAGCCTTGCCCCCTCAGCCAGCATCCACGTGCAGCAAGCAACCCGCACAGACCTATGTGGTGGCTCTGAGACGGACATATCCTTGTCCTCATTCTCAGTAGAACTCAGTTCAGCCCCATGGACACACCCACACAGCCCCCTAAAGTTGGTAAGCAGCAAGCCACTGGGCATCGTAGGTTACGGGGATGCTTTCAGAGCACTTCCCGCTTCACACAGGGAGGAATAAGAAGTAAAGTCATATCTGAAGCTGAACAGTTAAATCTCCGGATTTTATCCAAGGGCTGTTTTAAATGTTCTTGTTGATAATCAAGACAGGCGCCACTGGATGCTGCTGACCTCTCAAGTGTCTGGGGTGGGGCGTTCTGCCTGAGATGAGGGGGTCATATGGGGTTGTCCCCCTCTAGCCTCGCCTCCCCTCCCACAACAACCCAGAGCAGCATCTGCAAGAACAAGCCAAAATTCTCTGTGCCCCAGAGCATGTCTAGGGATTAGCAGTCATCAGCTCTGATCCATTCCCATCATCTTTTGGTGTCAAAGCCCCAGATCAGCAAGAGTGACTTTTATTTCCTTTACCTGGTCCTGTGTCTGAGTCACTGTCATCCATCCTCTTCCACAAAGCCTCTCCTGCCCCCTCCTTCATTCCCACTACCTCCATCCTGACCCTGATCCTGGGTGGCAGGCTCCCAGAGCAGCCCTTCACCAGCCCCCTGCTTCCAGCCTCTTCTCACCCTCAACCCATCCACCCCACTCTTGCTAAGAGTCACTCTCAGACACTCAACTCCTTATTGGACTTCTGTGATCAGAAATTCAGTGACTGTCCATTGTTTGAAATGAGAAAAATAGGAAATTGGTTAACGAGGGAAAGGGGAGATAAAGCAGAGAAGACAGAATGTTCCTTGTAAAGGAGGTTAGGAAATGCTGGATGACCCTCAGAAGGCATCTGGAGAGGACCAGGCAAGATGTGACGGGGCAGAGGTAGAACAGGGCTTGGGACAGTGACAGGAGACAATGTTTCTAGGCAGGAGATCAGAAGGTATTTCGCATTTGATCAACCACATCTCCCCAGACAACACTCAAACAAAGAAACACAATCCTGAATCCTCCTGATCTATCCATACTGGGCCTACTTGAAGGAAATGGCAACATTTTGAGAGCAATAAAAGAGATGTGATTAAATGAGAAATATCATGTTCCTGGATAGGAAGTCTCAATGTTGTAAGGATGCTCAGCACCTCTCATTATACACACACACACGCATCTTTTAAAATATATATAAAATGTATATATAAAAACATATATTTTAAATGATTCTAATCAAATTCCAACAAGATTTTTTGGAATTACAAAATATTCTAAAGTTATTATGAAAGAATATATGTGTAAAAAAAATCCCTAAGTAAAGTTATATGTGGTATCTACCCAGTCAGATATAAAACTTATTATAAAACTGATAAAATTAAAATGAGCAGCACTGGCACTGGAAGAGTTAAGAATGACAGAACAGAATAGAATGATAGTGTAGAAAAAGCTCTCGTACAATGGTCCAGGGCCTTCCAACAAACACAGCAAGATCCGTGAGTCACAATCCGTTACGAAAGCCCAATTTCTAATATAGAATCAAGGAAAGTAACTTTAAGTCAAAAAAAAAAAAATCAACCCAATATGGTAGGTTAGCATCATGACAAAATGGATTGACTGACATCTTCCTTCTTAAATTAAAAAAAAAAAAGAAACAAAAGCCAGCAGAAAGCAAGAACCCAGGCTGCTGTGGGGTTGGCCAAGGGTCACCGTGGTGAGAGCACGCCACACCCCGTGAGACCCCCTTTGCTGATTGGAGTCAAGGCATTATCAGTGACGGTCCACGACAGCAAAGCCTGAGCAGAGGCAGAAGAGGCCTGAGAAGCAAGCTCAGTCTTCCGACTGGCTCTGAGCGGTATGTTGTCTTCCCCTATTTATTTATTTGTTGCCTCTGGTTGATACAGATCTCATTCCCTTAAATGGATATTTCCTCGGTGCCTACGAGGTGCCTACTCCCTGAGTGGGGACGTTTTTCATGGGGACCAACGAAAACTTGCATACTTGGGGGCTACCAATGGTCAGTCCTGGGGCAACAGGAAATACAAGTTTCTCCCTCAATTCTTTTATAAGTCAGCCAGCCACATCTCTGCCCTCGAGTCCCAGGATCTCTCAGGGACGAGAGGATGTTGCTGGAGACGGCTGTGGGCTCGGGCTCCAGGCACAGGATGCCAGACCAGGCTGGAAGTGAACATCTGGTGAGATAGTTGCCCCAGCATAAGGGTAGAAGTGAGGAAGAATGGGGGAAACCAGAGTGGAGATGTCTTTGAACGTGCAACTTTCCCAAGTATGCCCAAGAGTTTAAAAGAGGAACTTGCTTCTTTAAACGGGAAGGGGTATTCTGGGACGAGGCCAGGCTCTAGTTTGCTTCCAGAAAGCCTAGTTAAGCTGAACTTTTGGACAGAACCAGGCAGCAACACCTAGCACTTCCTTCAGAGCAACAGCCATCAGGGAGCTCCAACGTGCCAACAGCTGCCCTTCCAGAAATACTGTCTCTGGAGAAATGCTCCAGGCTTGGATAGAATGCAGGACTTT